TATGAAATGTGTTTCAGTGTGTAGGTCAGTAGAGGACCGACGAGGAGCCTATCGTACTAGTACATTTTAGATCAGTCATATCAGAGCATGTCTTGAGTTTGTTAGAGGGCATGTATTTTATATGGTCCTTGTGTATGATTGAGTCATAACTTTATTTGGTTTATAAACTCATTGGATGTATTTGTACTATTTGGGAGAGTCCCATATTTTGTAAACTTTGATTTCAATTTCGCTTATATTATGATGAATAATTTGATGTTCATAAATGTTTTGAAAAGAAATTTTTTGGTTAACCATTTTGATGGTCTTGTAGGGTATTGTAATCCATGGATCTTTGGGTCGGACTGGATTAGGGTAATATAGTACAAGTTGTCCCTCTAATTCAAGAGGAATTGAGGAAAGGTGTGATAAAAACGATTAGAGTGAAGCTACCCAAGTAATAAACTCGAATAAGGTATCATGATAACAAGTAATACAATAAGTGAACAACAAAATCAGTAATCGTTATAGAATCATGAAACACATAAATACCTCCTTAGAGATAGAAATGACTAAGATACCCTTCAATGTTAAATGACCATAATAGCTAGGCTATTTTGGTTACCCTAGTAGGGAATTGTCAGTGGTGTGTAGCTAGGCTACATCAGTTGCCTTCGTGGGGTATTGTTAGTGCTTTGTGGCCTTTAGCCCTCATTCATGCATGTATAGTTGCATCAGTCCAGTCCAACAGATATCCTTAGAGCTTGGCTTGACAGCCATGTGAGACCGAGCAAATGCTTTAGTTGAGCATGAATTATACCGATGTTATGTGATCAACGAGTTCCCCTCCATTATCTACTTGATTGTTATGTGAGACCAGAATATCATCCAATAACATAGTAAGAATTTTACCGATGGTATGTGATTACCAAGTTTCCTCATCTAACTAGTATCTGATGGCTTTGTGAGACCATATACTAGTAGTATGTCGCATTCAGATAATGCATGACAATGTTAGTGTCGTATTTAGATAATGCACAATAGTGTGTCACATATCGCATTTAGAGAATGAACAACAACTATAATCATTATGGTTAGATACCCTTTAGAGGTGTACTCATGGCGAGGCCCTTAGAAGAGAATTAAGGGAAGCATGAGACTCCTACTTTAACGATAGAACAATTTAACCTTAAGTAGGTAGTACATGATTTTGATCATGTATGAGCCCACTGCTTAGTACAATGCCTTTAGCATGTTTGTGTTTATGAGACTCATAATGCTGCTCTAGATTATCGATTATACTACTAGGCTTTGTAAGCTCAGTATTTAGATGTTTTTTTGTTCTTAGGTTTTTAGTTTGAGTCGTTCGTAGAGCCTTCGCAGAAGGACTTCTAGCATCTTTCCCATAGTACTTTACTGTAGCTTTAGTGGGCATGTGTATTCATAGAACCTTACTCATGTATTTGGTTTATTGAACTCTGAGTTTGTATTATTTTAGTTTTAAACAATGTGCCAATGAGCTTCAGTTTATAAAAATGTTTTATAACGATCATGTATATTTATTTTGATACCATGTAGTATGTTTTGAAATAAAAATGAACAAGTTTTGAAAATCAGATGTTGCCTTGACAGTCCAATGTGGCACTTTAGGCCCAATCAGGTTTAGGGTGTTACACTAGAAGTACATCAAATGGATGTTAAAACAACTTTTCTAAATGAAGATCTTGATGAAGAAATATACATGAAACAACCTAAGGGTCATGTAGTTTCAGGTCAAGAAAGGAAAGTTTGTAGATTGGTGAAGTTTTTGTATGGACTTAAATAAGCACCAAAATAATGAATTGAGAAGTTCGATAGTGTCAAGATAACAAACAACTTCAAGATAAATGATTGTGACAAATGTGTATATGTTAAAACCACAAACATCGAATATATGATTATATGTTTATATGTCGATGACATACTCATTGTTGGAAGTAACAATAAAATGGTAAATCGTACCAAAGACATGTTAAATTCAAGATTTGACATGAAAGATATGGTATTGGCCGATACAATTTTAGGTGAAGGCTTTTATATTGATACAATCATACTATATGGACAAGATTCTTAAGAAGTTTACAAGGATGATTCTGGTATAGCCATAACTCTAATAGACTCTTGTTCACACTTGTCTAAAAACCATGGTCAAAGTGTTCACTAAGTGGAATATGCAAGGATCATAGGTAGTCTAATGTATCTTATAAGTTGTACTAGACTAGACATCTCTTTCACTATGAGCAATCCAAGTAGATTTACAAGTAATCAAAGGGAAAACCACTAGAAAGCAATGACAAATGTATTAAGATATCTCAGATATACTTGAGATTATGGATTGCATTATTCCAAAGATCTTATCATCATTGAAGGATACTCTAATGCTAGTTGGATATCTGATATTCAAGATACCAAATGTATAAGTGGATATGCATTCACATCAGAAGGAGGAGTCGTGTTATGGAAATCTTCAAGACAAACAATTATAACTAGATCCACAATGGAATCTAAGTTTGTAGCTCTAGATAAATACAAAGAAGAAGTAGAGTGACTTTGATACTTTCTTGAGGACATACATGAATGGCCAAAACATATGCCCACACTATGCATATACTGTGACAATCAAGAAATAATTACCAGATCACAGGATTTTATGTATATAGGTAGATCAAGTAATATGCATCTTCGATATAATACTGTTAGACGATTGATCTCAGAGTGAGTTATCTCTATTGATTTTGTAAGATCAAAGGATAACATCACGGATCCGCTAATAAAAAGGTTAAATCGATATCAAGTTAAGAAAACATCTAAAGGAATGAGACTAAAGCCCATGAAAATTAAAGGTGTTATGTGAAGGAAAACCCTACCTTGTTGACAATAGATCCCTAGATCTAGGTTCAAAAGGACAACCTAATCACATAAATAGTATACGGTTAATGTGGGGTTTATAATCCCAAGTAAATTCCTATGATGTAAAAACTTATTAAAGTGGTATAGGCTAAGCAAGACTTTTAATGACCATTGTGTTCTTCGATGAGCTGAGCAACATAAGTGACCTATGCGAGAGTGAATTGGGGTCGCTTCAAGGAAACTATACAACATAGTCCTTTCAAACTCTTGCATAACTAGATGATGTTCATGGCTATATGGACATACCTATGAGAACTAATATATTTGTTAAAAAGACAGTTTTGTGAAGTATATCATCGTTTACACAAATGACAAAACAGTTCAATGACATCACCTATACTGGTTAGCCAGTAAAGTAAATATATTATCACAAGGAAAAGTTCAAAGGAGAACACTCACTTGTAGGGTTTATCACTACATCGAGTTAAAATATTTTGATAAAATCATCAATTTCATTCATGCGGGGGATTGTTGGAAAAGTTGTGATAAATTGGAAAGTTTGAGGCATATTTTCTATGGGTAAAGGTGGAGATTCAAATAATGAATTTACTGATTCATATTATACTCCATGAGATCATTACAACGATATCTCATATGCTCAAAATAGTTGAGTGATAAATGAGAAATTGATGCTCAAAGTATGGTAAATGTGAATTGTGTTGTGTATGGAAAATATGAAAAATCATATATCCTACATTGGTAGGATAACAAGCATGAGAATGGTTTATATACACCGACTTACTTGCTAGTCATTGAATGGCTTGGGTTGAGATTGTGCCTCGTGCATAAGCACAAGGGGTGCAATCCAAGCATATCGAACCCATCAGGGTTGGGGAGGCACCCCACACGACGTGGGCAACGCGAATGTCTGTACCGGTCAGGCTCTTCCTACTATGAATTAAATATTCTCCTTAAATTTGACATATTTTTTAATATTCTAAATTAAAAGGATATTATATGATTTCTTTTAATTCGAAGATTAATATGATATATCTTACAGTTCATGAATATATTCGATTAAATGCGATATTAATTGATTACTTCCGAATTATTTAGATACTCATTAACGACTTTATTTTTCAGAATATATTCTTATTAATTGATTACTTCAGAATTTATTCAGATATTCATTAATGACCTTGCTTTTCATAATATTTTTTTTATTCTTATCTCATGAGAAACTTTATAAATACCATGTGAACCTATTAGGTTAAACACAACTCAAAAACTCTTTTCTTCTTCTCTAGTTTTCGGTGATAGCCTCAGGCAAGATATAGTTTGTGACCTCTGCAGTTGTGTTAATGTACGTTGATCATCTCGTTGTTATATCCTGGGAGACAGTCGACCAAAGATCTCGAGCACCGAGGAGTGGCCGAAAATCTATCTCAAGGAAATTGTGTATCTACAGACCTTAACTAGTTTCCATATCGTTATTATGTCGACATTTGTTTTTTTAATTCTAAACTGTATTTTTTTAAATAAAATTCTATCTTTTTCTTTGCTGTCTCGGATTGTTATACTTGTAATAGTATGGTCTTTATATGATCTTAAGTTACTAATTTCTTGTATTAATGGTTATGGGAGAATATCCTAATTATTTGATTAGTTTACGAATCTAATTGCAAGCCCCTCATTGTAATTTTAGATATTTTTTCTCTTTCTTAATAAAATTATATGCTTTTATTTAAAAAAAATGACAATATAGTAGAATATCAATCTCTCGTCATTAAAAATTAAAAATTTTAAAGATTAAATTGAAATTTAGTAATACGAAGAGAAAAAGAGAAGGACCAAATAATTAAGAGAATTTGTTTCTATATAATAAGATATTTCTGGATCTTTTTTTCTTTTTAACATGCATCAACGTCCAAGAACGGTTCTTACGACACCTTGAGTTAGAAAAATAAACAATAAATCTTGTGAAATCAATGCTACGATACTGAGACAAGTTATTCTCAGTTTAAATTTCTCCACCCCCTCTTTTTATATATGTATGTATACATGTATTCCTTTAAAATTGTATAGTTCATAAGCTTATGCTGAAGAAGAAACCATCGATCTACGTATACGGGTTTTCTATGACTTAAATGATCCAATCGTCACATTCTGCAGGGAACTTGGCTGGATCATATGATATAGAGTCATGGTAATCTAATGCGAAATTGCCTCCGTTAATGGGAGATATAAGATCAAGATTCGAAAGAAAGTTCCAGAACTGATCTTTTTGCTGCTGCAACTCCAATACCCGAGCTTTTGTTGATTCAAGCTGCATCTCAAGTTCTTGCACCATCTTTTGCAATTGGCAAACAACTCCTGTGCTGCCATAAACCGGGTCTTTGATCCTCCATGTTGCTTCATAGACCAGCGCTTTCACAGCATCCTCCCTATTTCTTTTCTCTACCATCTGGTATCAGAAACTCATAGAATCAATTAGTACCTTAGATTTACATAAAAAAATATCAATGTCGCAAAATATCACAACTGCAGATTAAGCTTATTATTACCAACCTGAATCATTTTGATTGCATTGCTAGCACCGAAAACCTTGTGTAACTTGGCAAACTTGTCGATCTCGTGGCAGGGGAAATACGGAGCGAGAATGCAACTACTGTCACATCTCCGGCGTAGCATCCTACAAGCAGCACATGGATGATGGGTCCTGGCTCTTGCAAGAGATTCTAAATCCATTTCTTTTAGGACTACATGTGTAACGTGAAGCAATGTCTTATTTATATGGTTAAGGAAGTCGGTGTATGAAGTCCAAGAAAGCGAGATAGGGCACGGCTTTGATTGTTTTTGTAGGGTCCAAGTTTTCAAATGCTGGTGCTGGGAAATTGGTGAGGCGGCCACTTGAAGACAGGATCACGATCGTGGCATTGTTGAAAAATGTGGAACTCGCTGTTACGACAGTGGTATTGATCAACACAAAACGTGTCATATCTCTATTTGTTCATCACTGTTAATAAGAAAATGGTATCCTTAATCTCTATAGCTTCACTGAATTCAATTCCCACGTGCTTTTATAATTTTTTTTCTGACTTATGTGTCGTTGCTTTTCAGGGCTTTTTCTTGGAAATTAGAAACATTCCGATCTGTTATTGGGTTTTGTCAATTTATGCATGCAGTCCACGCGCGGATCACCGACACTTCGGCTTTACCCCGCTTTTTTTATTAGACTGGTCGGGAAGGGAGCATGTATGTTAGGTGCACTGTTTATATTCTAAGGTTACAGGCCTAGAACTAGGCATACTAAAAATACTTTCTCGGTCCAAACCTTGTGATTTAAGACTTCCGTGCACGAAATCACATCTTTTTCTTTTACTGCATACCACCGTAGTTTTTATCACATCAGGATAGACAATGCTAATATGACCCCGAGACACACTCATATTTTCAAGTTCATTGTTTCGGTGTCAAAAGAATAGACAACTCATAATCGTCTGTAAATGAAAAATCTCATCCATAGTACATTTTGAGATGAAAGCTTCAATCAAAATTTCAATTTCATAGCATTTTCATTGGCGGAAAACTACAACTAACCGTTCAATTCCTATCCACCGCATATCAACAATCAAATTAACCGGCAAAAACCTTGGAATATATGTGTAAAGGAGCTGGGAGCATGCAGGCTCCTCAAAGTGGAGATCCTTGATTTTTGCCTTATTTCCTATGTTAAATATCAGTAAGTTTGCTGATAAATTTATATGCTGCTATCTGATATGAGACGATTATTGTCGATTTATACATGTTGCTATAAATGCATTCTTAAACAGCCTGACCACGCAAGGCATGGTTAAAACAAGTAAAAATAGCAATTAAAACGAAGTACAGGGATTACATGGTTACCGAGGCAACATGAACATGAATGAATGCAGAAGAATGTTAACCTTCCCCTGGCATCATAGGTGGAGCAAAGGTTTCTATAAACTCCAAGAGTCTCTAACAATATGCTCCACATTCTTGTTCCAATATATTTCTTGAATTTTCAAATAACTTTATGGCCTCATCTATTCTGTACAGTTGCACATTTGCTAGTCCCATCTGGTTAGAATACAATTCCAAAGAAAGCGGATTGGTTCTCCCCGCTAGCATGGAGCTTTTTCACAGAACTCTTGAAAGAGCTTTCGAGCTTCCCCATAAATGCCCAACACTTCAGTTAATCAGCCAACAATTTCCTCTGATGTAGTCCCAGGTACAGGTTTTGAATATATCCTCAAGGAATTCTCAGAATAGAATTTGGATTCCCTTACCTTGCCTATCTTGTAATAGAGATCAGTAAGATGAATAAAGACTGATTCTACAATCTACAGAAGGGTGATTTTTGCCTTTTATGGATTTAAATACTGTAAGTGCCTTCTGATAGGCAAAAATTGCCTCATCAAATCTGCAAAGGGACGAATAAATGTTGCCAATCCTAATATCATTAGCCGACTCATTTGCTTGATTGTCAGCTATCTTTGACATGCTAGCAAGGACAAGGTGCTCAAGGGCAGATTCATAGTCAGCCTTTGCCTCATACACAAGAGCCATAAGCTGGTGGTCAGCCACGTCTTCAAGGGATGTCAGTGCACAGTGCTCATTGTGGATTTCAAGGGCCTTCCTGCATAGATTTTCAGCTTCGTCGAATTGCGTCGCTTGAACATTGGCCTCAGCTAAATACCTGACATTTTCAATAAGTTCAGAATGCACTTATGCTGATTAATGCAACAGCATCAAGAAAACAAATTGCAACATCTTTTTTTTTCTCTGCCCTGGTTGCTTAATTGGTCTGTCTATGGCTTTATCGTTTGCACCCAGCGGGTTAGAATTAAGCCATTAACCAATAAGCAGTGTGCAAAAAACAACATTGTAAGATAACCCTCTGGACCCAGTTTGTTAACAACGAAGGCAGACGAGGAACCACTTATTTTCGGAATATCATAAGCAATGCTGTGTGGTAAGGCTCTAACTATCAAGTGGAACCTATCTTCTGGTTCGCATTTAGCCATGTCCTGTCTGCAAACATGTCTTTATAACTTCAGTTAGTTATTATAGTCATTAACACCATTTTTATCTCTCTTGCAACAATGGCCTTTCATTCTTCAAATAATCAGTAACTAGACGTTTTATTCCTAGCGACAAGAAACTAAAGAAACATTCATTCACCCACCTCGCGAACTAACTGGTAAAATTAATTGAAAAAAATGGAAGGTTAGTTACCTTACCTGCAAGTCTCAGCAACTCTAGCATCCAAATCCCCGTGAGCTTCAATCTGGATCCTCCAGACAGAGTCATAGAACTTAATGGATTGGTCTAATTGACCCAAAATGGAGTACTTGTCCCCTAAATGCATACACCCGGAAAACTTCGCCAGCGCATGATCCGACCCATTTCTGAAAACCGGCACCTCGATGGACAGCTCCAAGATCAGAACCGCTTCCTCAAACCTTCTCAAGCTAGTATAAATCACCGCCAGAATGTGAAAGCTCATAGCCAGCTCCAAATCCGGACCCGAACACTTCTCGATCGATTTCGTGGCATAATCCAAGGCCAGATTCGGGTTATCACCGGAGGAAATAGTGTCTCGAGAGAGAAACTAACCAGGATCCGGATTGTCGAGGGAAGACTCATCAATGTGGATTTGATCCCTTTTCGTTAGCTTTGATCGTGAAACCGAAGGTGTGGGACAAGAGAGTCGCTCGGTGCCTCTTCCGTTTCAGTTCCGGTTACGATAACGCTAAACGGCCTCACATTCGGTGAAGTTTCAACGGAAACTTAACCCCGCATTAGCTAAGAAAAAAATCATCTCAGCTGGAAAATCATTGGTTTATTAAAAAAAACAGCAAATACAAATTAAAAAAAAGAGAGTCAGAGAATGATTAATAGGGATGAAAATGATAGCGATGGAGGTAGAGGGTCGCTTGGAGAAAGCGTCTCATGACCAGAGAATTTGGGTATTTTAATTTGATAAAGAGTTTAAGAAAGAAAAAAGGAAGTAAAAGAGAGAGGAAATCCATTTGGAGGAGAGAATAACAGGTTCAGGTGGAAAGCTTTCATGAGCTTCAAGAGTTCATTCGTTCTCCTTTTGTTGTGAAGCGTAGATTTTTACTGAATTTGAGACAGGAGATGGGGTTTCGCTTTCGTCTCCTTGCTTACTGTTTTTTGTAGCGTTCTGGTGGATTGGCTGGGAGTAGGAAATTGCCGTCTATAGTCGTTGTGCGGCTATACTATATTCGCCCATTATTTACGTACGGTAGTTAATATTGTTTTTTTAGAATAATATATTTTCATTCATATTCCAATGGCATAAGGATAACGTTATTTTTAATATATTCTTATTCATCGAAAAAGAAGAAGAAAGGATTGGTACTAAATAAGGCCATATTCATAAGATTATGAACATTGATATAATAGACCTTGAAGGTCGGGGAATCGTCTAGAATGATATGTCGTATGCACCTTCTTAAACAATAATTCTATCACTAAGATGTTATTTTAGTGGTACACTTGTTTGTTAACGATGAAAATAGCATCTCCAATAATAATAACATGAATTCATCCAATCTTGGTTGCGAGTTTAAGACTCGTGAAGCCAGCCACCTCCATTGATTCTGTATTGTGTCTCCTGTCTAAACATTGTCCAATACCTCCTATCATTATGTCATTATGGTCTCTTATCACCAATATTGATCTTTATGCAACCGTCATGAGTTTTGATTCATGAATTTTTAGAGTTAACACCCACCAATCTTGGAGTGGTGAATAAGGTCTTGGATGTCTCACAAAACTCTTTCTCAAGCTTCAAGCCACACCAAGATTTGTAATTTGTGGCGTTAGAGGAGATAATCTTGTGGTCTAGCCTTGAGAGTGTAAGAACTTCCTCGACCATGGAACATTCCTTGAGGGCATGAAGGATCGTCTCGATCCTCTGATTTCATATGGAAATGATTCATTAACCCAACTCGGCTGTCGAGAGCTTCAAATCTGTGGGTAATACATCGTAACAAGTTTGCCATCCAAAAACTTTTATTTTAGACAATGTGAAAAGCTTCGAAAGTATCTCCATGGGTAGCCTATCTCTCTCAATGTCGACCTTCATAAAAAGTCAATTATACCCAGATTTGGTTGAATAGCAACTTATATTATGGTGCTCCCAAATAAGGCCATCAGTTTCTTATGGTGATATAAGAGTACTCAAAATTATGCTAGCATCATGAACCAGAAAGATCTTTCTAACCTTGTTGTCATCCCATTTTGACAGTCCCTGAATTATAAAGTCCTTACACCAAATCAAATTTTCAATGTTATCCACGAACGTTTTAGCTAATGCTAGGGTTTAAACTCCCCAGCGATCAAAATGCATTCTAGAGGACCCGTTAAACCCAATTCGTCAAAAGTAGTCATCTTTTTCATATGTTAATTTTCTGAAAGGTTTTGAGTCGTAACAATTACGTCTACAAGATATGTATGTATTGATAATAGACTAAGAAAAAAAATCTAAATAAATATTACATTATAATCACCTTATAAAGAATATCCATTTTTTTCAATTTGTTTTACATGCTTGGATGCTTTTGTTAACGAAATATGTGACTAGTTAAAACATTACTAATAGATGATTAATTTTTAATTTTAGAATGACATAAAGTAATTATACCTTTACATGTAAACAAATATAACATTTATGATCAATCTTAATACGAATTTGGTAAATATCCATTATACCAAATAGACTTAGCAAATTTGATCCGTACCCGATTACCCGAATCGATTTACTCAAATCGAGACCTGATATAGAACAAATAAGATAATCCAAAATTGATTCGAAACCCGAAATAAATCAAATCGAACCGAAACCGACCCAAATTATAGTTTAACCGAAATCAATCTGAATAGAAAGTAACTGAACCGAAAGCAACCCGTACCAAAATCATTCCGAACCGAAAAAAATCCAAACCGGAAATAACCTGAATTGAAAACAACCCAAATTTAATTTACTCATTTCTGAACCGATCTTTGACATGATTTTAACTCGATAATTGAGTCTAAGTGAACAAATAATTTATTTATTTATTTAGTATTGTTATTATTATTTTTATCTATTTTTAGTAATTAGATAAATAGTAGAATGATATAATTTTTTTCTCATTTTATATTATACAATTAGTTCATCACCACATCTAGTAATAGTTTAATAGTTCAATATAATTTTTACTCTATTAAAAGACTATCTCTATGTCCAATAACTTCTAAATCAATCCTAAAATTTATAATGGTTTATAAAGTTATTTTTATACTTCAAAATATTCTAATTTGATTTAATTCATTTAAACTAAAACTTTTAGCCCTGAATTTGGGATGTGACAATATATAGTCACATAAATGTTTTGAATTACAAGTTATAAAGAGTAGCACCGATGATTAAGACGACAAAGAGTGAAGATTGTTGACCTAAACAGAAACAACTCGAATTAACTCAAAAATCTAAAGGTTGATCTAAACCAAAACCAACCCGAATTAACCCGTAAATCTAAAGGTTGATCCAAACCGAAACCAACCCGAATTGACTCGAAAATCTAAAGCTTGACCCGAACTGAAACCAACGATCCAATATTGACCTGACTCGAAACCAACCGATCTGAGATTAACCCAACCCAATACCCAAACAGAATTTAATTTCCTTTGACCTGAACTAAACCCGAACCCGGTCTGACCTGAATCAAATCAAATGCAATCCTAACCTGAAATAACTCAATCCGAAATGACCCGACCCAAACACGATTCGAATGACCCGATTGCACCTCTAATACCAAATATTGTATTAGGTCACGTGTTATTTATAACATGAACAAAATCAATATATTAGGGTCTATTTGTTTTATTGAAAATATTTTTTGAAAAATATTTTCTGTAAAATGAATTACATTTTCTAGAAAACGTTTTACAGTGTTTAGAATATATTGTGTAAACTATTTTACACTAGCCGATGAATTTATATAAATTATTTATTAAAAATATTAAATACAATAAATAATATTATTTATCATAAAAACTTAATTTTATCATTTTTTAAATATTTTTTATTAAACTAAGGTGAATACAAAGTATAATATGTTCTAAATGCTCTCAACTATTTGACAATGAACGTTTAATCACACCTTGTTACAATTGCTAGATTTGAACCCATGACCTCTAGAAACAGCAACGATTCGTTTAACCACTAAGGTAAGTTGGTTCGTGCTTAATTTTTTAAATATTAGAATAATTTATTCATTATTATTAAAATATTATTTCTATACTTTTATAAACAAAAATATTAATATTAGTACATTCAACTGAAATAAAAATATTATAAATTATATTAATTATTTATTAAAGTAAAAGTATTCTACTCTATTTTAAAAATTATTAATTAATATATTTTAAATATTTTATTAAAATATTATTAGATTATTATTTTTGGATAATTCTATTCATTACCCAAGAAAACAAGAGTCTTGCTACAAATTATAGTATACATAAGACAACAAAACATAAGAATAACCAACAAAGCTAAACAAAATCGCAGCAGGAAACAAAGGGAAAAATACTCAATTAAGGAATGCTCCAACTAGCACAGAGGGTGATATTCCTCAGGTCAGTTCTATTAATAGGCTTTCCGATCAATCGAATCCTAATAGCTTCCTTAATGTCCTGCAGAACAACCTCCACCGACCTCGCACTGCCCCCAAACAATCTATTGTTCCTCTCTTTCCAGGTGCAGTAAACGTGACCATTCCAGGCGAGCTTGAGAACCATAACGATGAGAGACTTTCCTTTGAGACAATGGATCGCCCAAGCCAGCTCACCATCCCAGCTGCCAATCATTCGAGACACACCACACAAAGCAATGATAGATCCCCAGAGGCTTTTTGCAAAATTGCAGTAAAAAATTAAATGCTCTCTAGATTCTGCCTCGAGACCACACAACACACAATTGACATCATCGATACCTAGCCCCATTTTTAAAATCTAACCCGCGTAGGAAGACGATTTAACATAGCCATCCATGTAATAACGCTCTGCTTGGGGATACGCCCAGAGAACCTGACCAAGTGCTGCCAAGGGACCTTGGGCGCTGTAATGCACATGCCTTCCCAGATTCGCCTCACACTAAGGTCAGAAGTCGAGCTAGCAAAAAGGTGAAAAATAGCAGGCCTAATTTTCAAAAGGCATTTGAAGCTCCAGCTAACATTATTGGGAATGTTCAACTGCCAAAAGTCATCATTTTTAATCACATAGGATCGCAACCAAGCCACCCAAAGGGAGCCTCATTAACAGTTTTCTGATTAAGTGCACGATGCATGCCTTATTCCAAACACCGATATCCTGCACACCCAAACCCCCTTCGAACTTCGATAAACAAATTTTCCTCCAGCTAACACGTGCGCCTTTCGTAGGCAAATCAGACCCCTTCTAAAAAACGAAGAACATAGCTGCTCGATTGTTCTAATAATCTCATTTGGTAAAATAAGCTGCCTACACCAAAAGTTTGCCATGTTGAATAAAACAGCCCCGATCGACTGTAGTCTTCCAGTAAAATTGAGGTGCTTATTGGCCTACAAATTCAACTTAGCCTTGATTTTGTCCTTCACAGT